CTTACCTTTCTATCCAACCCAACTTCATCTACCCCTCTTCTTCTTTCTCCAAATTCCCTGACGGCTCTCGTGTGAAATATTCATAACTCGTCACATTTTGTTTGCCTAGTGCCTGTTTTCTTGTTCTCGCAGATATTCTCCGACATGGAGCCTCATGCTCTCCTGGCAAGTCTTCCGGCGAACCCAGGCGATCTTGTCGGCATCTTCAACCATGAAGGAGAAGGCATGGCGCTTCTCCATGGACAAGAATCCGGCGTACCTTTGTTCTATTTTACTCTTATTGTATAGCATATGTTCTACTGGTATCGCTGCGTACATGATTGCTGACTGCTTTTCTTTCTAGGATGCCCTCACCTACCTTGACCAGGTCAAAGTCCAGTTCCATGATCAGCCAGACGTCTATAACCGATTCTTGGATATCATGAAAGACTTCAAAAGCCAGGCGTATGTTACTGATCGAGCCGCCACTTTTGTCGTGACCACAGCTAACGCCAGGACAGTATTGACACGCCAGGAGTTATCAACCGAGTATCTGAGCTCTTCGCCGGGCATCCAAACCTGATACAAGGATTCAACACTTTCTTACCTCCCGGTTACCGTATCGAGTGCGGCGCCGGTAACGATCCGAATACAATACGAGTCACCACGCCTATGGGTACCACGGTTCAATCTATCACCGGACGTGGAAACCAGGGGGACGGTCACGGTCCTGCCACAGCTAATCAGCCCTTGTTCCCCGAACGAGGTAGCCAGTGGCAGCAACAGAGACCACAGCATAGCATCGAGAGCCCGGAAGCACAGTTCAGTACGCCTGTTCAGAATGGTGCAAGCCTATTTGTTCAAGCTGCAGCCCACAATGCTGCTTTCAACGAGAGCAACAACTCGGGTCAGCGACGTGCTCTGCCCCAGGGCAGCACAGGTCCTGGGGATGGGCCAAATGCGCGCCAGGCCTTGACACCCACTCCTTCTGGACAAGCTGGAGTAAACGGCAATGCAGCGAATCAGGCAAACATGGAACGACGGGGGCCAGTTGAATTCAACCATGCTATCAGCTATGTGAATAAGATCAAGGTAAAAACCATTCCTCATGTCACAACTTCTCAAAGTGTCAGATGTACTAATCATGGCAAAGAACCGGTTCCAGGACAAGCCTGAGATCTACAAACAATTCCTTGAAATTCTTCAAACCTACCAGCGCGAACAAAAGCCTATCCAGGACGTATATGCGCAGGTTACCACCCTGTTCAACTCGGCTCCTGACCTACTCGAAGATTTCAAACAATTTCTGCCAGAATCAGCTGGACAGGCAAAGCAGACTCCCAACCGTATGGACGATGGACCCCCATCTGGACCCAATCAGACACCGCAACCTGCTATGAGAGATGGACAAAAGATGCCTCCTCTTGGTAGCTTTGCGCCGCCTGCTAGCGCCACTAAAGACAACAAGAAGCGACCCCGAGCCGACAAGCAAGCTGCTCAGCCTGCAACCGTTCTTGCAGATGCGACCTTAATCGCACGGAATCTTCCTCCTATTGCGAATGGTCACAAGAGGCCTAAACTCAACCATGCCAGACCAGGAGGTGACAACTCAGCAGTCGAGCCAACTCTCACGCCGGTTATGCCAGAGCCATACCCTGCTAAACCCTCTTCGACATCTAGTCAGGAGGAGATTGCCTTCTTCGATCGCGTTAAGAAGTTCCTTAGTAACCGATCTACTATGAACGAGTTCTTGAAACTTTGCAATCTCTTCAGTCAGAACATCATCGACCGAAACACATTATTTCACAAGGGTGTGTTGTTCATCGGCGCAAACCCTGACTTATTGAACTTCTGGAAGACCTTTGTTGGCGTCGACACTCAAGACGTCGTCATCGACAATCGTCCTGCCCCCCCGACAGAGAAGGTGTCTCTCAGCAACTGTCGTGGGTATGGACCTAGTTATCGATTACTTCCCAAGCGAGAACGCCTCAAACCCTGCAGCGGCCGAGACGAGCTCTGCAACTCTGTTCTCAATGATGAGTGGGCTTCACACCCTACGTGGGCGTCGGAGGATAGCGGATTCGTTGCTCATAGAAAGAACCAGTTTGAGGAAGGACTGCACCGTATCGAGGAAGAGCGCCATGATTATGACTTTAACATTGAAGCTAACATCAAGTGCATCCAGCTTCTGGAGCCTATTGCACAAAATATGCTCGCCATGTCTGCTGCTGAGAGGGAAACATTCCAGATGCCTGTTGCACTCGCTGGACAAAGCACGTCTATCTTCAAGCGAATCTGCAAGAAGATTTATGGTGATCGCGGTATCGATGTTGTTAATGACATGTTCACCCATCCCTTCGACGTTGTGCCTGTCCTATTGGCTCGCATGAAGCAGAAGGATGAGGAGTGGCGGTTCTCCCAGCGAGAATGGGAAAAGGTGTGGCATGCCCAGACCGAGAACATGCATCTCAAGAGTCTGGACCACATGGGCATTCTTGTCAAGCAAAACGACAAGAGGCACTTGACTGCAAAGCACTTGGTCGACGTCATCAAGACAAAGCATGAGGAGCAGCGTCGCGAGCGATCGTTGAAGGGTGATGTCCCTCGACATCAGTTCAGCTGGGACTTTAGCGACAAGGATACAATCATTGATCTTCTGCGCCTCATGATGCTGTACAGTTTACACAATGGCCAGCACAGCAGCCAGGAAAAGGAACGCATTCTGGAATTCTTTGAGTCTTTCATCCCTGCCTTCTTCGATATTCCCGAGGAGAATATCCAGGATAAGCTTCCCAAAATGCAGCCCGATTCTGGCGAGGACGAAGTGGAGGATCACACGCCTGCGGAGCTGACCAATGGTCGCAGCCGACGTAACGGTCGAAAAGGAGATCTACTTAGAGGCGTTCTTGATCCTGGCCGTAACGGTAGCAAACCCCGCGGACATAAGGAAGACAGCACCTCTGGAAGCAAAGAGACAACGCCTGATGTTACTTCGGCGAACGAAGAGGAGATGCCCGATGCTTCCGATGACGTTGCCAACACTGACGTTTCCAACGAACGCTGGATACCCAATATCCCCAAACCCGTTGTTGTTGGTCAGAGCGAAGAAATCCTGAACACCGAAGGCGAGTTGAAGGCCGATGGATTCTTCACTAGACCATGGTACAACTTCTTCTGCAACCAGACTCTGTTCGTCTTCTTCAGCATCCTCCAAACTCTATATCGACGTCTTCAAGATCTCAAAGAGGCAAAAGAGGTTGTGGCTAAGGAAGTCGAGCGCCTCAACAAACAGAAGCCTGCTCGGGATATCGGGTTTACTGAGAACCACATGAAGTTCTTCGATACCAACGATGACCCAGATAGTTACTGGCCGAAGACCCTTGAGCTCATTGAGGAGTATATTTCTGGTGACGTTGACGAGAGTCGATACCAGGATGTGATGCGACACTATTACCTCAAGACTGGATGGAAGGTGTACACAATCCAGGACCTGCTCAAGACTCTCTGCCGTCTGGCCCTTACCTGCAGTAGCACAGACGTAAAGGAGAAGACTCCTGACCTCATTGCCCAGTACCAGGCCAACCGTGAGCGAGAGGAAACAAGTTACCAGACAGAGATTAGCGCCCGAAAGTTCGCTGAAAAATGTGTTAAGGATGGTGATATTTTCGTGATATGCTGGGTAAGTTGAAGCCACCATGACATTTTCTATTTGTCAGACCTCTAACAACATCACAGTTCCCCTCCAAGTCTGAGGCGACCGTGCGATGGCTTCAACGCGAAGAAACAACCTTCTACATGGACGAGATGCAACTCCGTGAGCGCTGGCAGTATTATATCTCATCCTTTATTCGCGTTGAGCCCACCGAGGGAGTACCTAGATCGAAGCTCCAGAAGGTCGTGCTCTCTCGTAACCTTCCCTCACCCGACGCCGATGCAGACGAGGATTCCATTCCTAAGGCCGTCTCGTATAAGGAGAACCTGACCATTAGTATTTGTCTTAAGAGTTCAAAGATGATATGGGCTCCTGGAACTTCTGAATACGTCGTATATGACCAAGGTCCCAAGTCGGCAGAACAGCGTGAGCGTCGCGATAAGTTCATCCGTGCCCTCAGCGCCCACCGAGAGAACAAGCTTCTTGAGAAGTGGGTGCATAATCCTGCATGGACCAAGGACCTGAGTCCAGAGGAGGTCCAGGAGCAAAATAAGAACTTCCGCAAGTGGATGGACGACGGTGTCGTTCCGCCCAGCGCTGCTGAAGACGTGGAGATGGATTAGCCCTCTAACTCTCGCCAGCAGCAGGAGCAGGGACGAAAGCGTAGCAGAGAAGCTGCGCCAATAAAGCCTGCAGCGACCGTCTCAAAACTAAACGGTAAGGGGTCACGAAAGAGGCCTGCGGAATTGCTCGTTTCTGCTCCGCCAAACAAGAAGACAAGATATAGTCCTCGCATTACCAGGGCACGATCTGGGAGCGACGAGTCGCGCAAGGAAGGGGGCGGATAACTTTTAAAGGAAATAAATGGGGATGGTGTGCTTGTATGGAACTCATCAGCGGTTTGGTTTTTTTTTATTTTTTTTATTTATTTATCCTTTCCTCTATCATTTTTGTTTTTAGTCTTTGAGGTTCAAAAGACGACAGGAAATTCGCAACCAGAAGGCTTGCGCGCACGTCAGTTTTCCTATCATAGCGAAGGTTGATATGATGTTTGAGGAGTTTAGAGCTCCTTTGGCCTGTACTCTAGAAACTATGTAACCAAGCACGTCATGATTGATATCAGTATCGAAGTTGTGCAGTTAATGTCATCATATCGAAAGTCAGGCCTTGAGTTGGTTTCTTGTGAATTACAAATGGTATTTATTATATCTCTTCCTAAATGGCTATTCAAGGGTATACCGTGGAGCAGTCAGATATCGTAGGCCATATCAAGATGCGTCAGATACAGCAAGACAAAACTTTTCGTTCCATGGCACCACATGCCTGTTTAATGTGTCATCTAAATCGTCAATTATCCCAGTCGCCCCTTTTATTGCAGGTTCTCGATGACCATAGCAGAAGCACCACCACCACCGTTGCAGATACCAACAGCACCGATCTTGGCCTTCTTCTCCTTGAGGACGGAGGTAAGGGTGGTAACAATACGGGCACCAGAGCATCCAAGAGGGTGGCCGATGGCAACGGAACCACCGTAGACGTTAACCTGGTCAGGGTTAAGACCAAGGAGCTTCATGTTAGCGAGGGCAACGGCGGAGAAGGCCTCGTTGATCTCGTAGTACTCAACCTGGTCGGCGGTCAAACCAGCGTGCTTGATGGCCTTGGGAATGGCCAGAGCGGGAGCAATGGTGAAACGCTCAGGCTCACGCTCAGCATCACCCCAACCAAGGATCTTGGCAACAGGCTTAAGGTTGAGCTCCTTGAGCTTAGCCTCCGAGACGAGGACAACGGCGGCGGCACCATCATTGATGGGAGCAGCGTTAGGGGCAGTGACAGTACCATCGGGCTTGAAAGCAGGGCGCATAGCCTTGAGCTTATCGACATTCAGGTTCTTGACCTCGTCGTCGCGCTCAACCTTGATAGCGGGCTTGCCACGGCCACCAGGGACCTCAACGGGGACGATCTCAGTGAAAAGGCCGGCCTCAGTGGCAGCCTGGGCCTTCTTGTATGAGTTGATGGCGTACTCGTCCTGAGCCTCGCGGGTGAGCTCATGGTCATCAACGCAAAGCTCAGCAGAGATGCCCATGTGGTCCTTCTTGAAAGAGTCGGTCAAACCATCCTTGAGAACACCATCGACGAGGGTCTGGTCGCCGTACTTGGCGCCGTTTCTGAGGTTGGGGAGGTAGTGAGGAGTGTTGGACATGGACTCGGTTCCACCAGCAACGACAATGTCGGAGGTGCCGAGCATAATGTTTTGAGCACCAAGAATGATGGCCTTAAGCGAAGAAGCGCAGACCTTGTTCACGGTTGTGGCGATGACGGTCTGGGGAAGGCCTGCACCGAGGGCACATTGGCGGGCAGGGCCCTGTCCAACGCTGGAGGCGAATCATGTCAGCAACGAGGCCACAGTTATCTCAATTTTCGAGATCATGATGGCGGGGTAGAGAAAACAAAAGACCTACCCAGCGGAGAGGACATTGCCAAAAAAGACCTCGTCGACATCCTCAGGCTTGATACCGGCACGCTCGACAGCTCCTGTGGATAGTCGTCAGTACCCGGAATGCTTATTTTGTTCGTGGTTGTGAGATTTAATCTTACCCTTGATGGCGACAGCTCCCAGTTGAACGGCGGTCTGGCTCGACAAAGAGCTATATTGATATTAGCCACTACACAACAATGATGTAGCAAAAGATCATACTAACCCGAGGAACGAGCCGATGGGCGTACGAGCCGTAGAGACAATGTAGACAGGAGGAAGGTTGGCCATTGTGGAAGAATTGATGTGTTATGATGGAAGATGACAAAAAATCAGGAGATCGTCAGCGGAGAGCTTAAGTTTATAGATCGATAAATCAGCAAGGGGACGAGATGGGCAGTGGAGCGGAAACCGGCGGCAATTTTGTTGAGGGAGTAGCGAACCTTACAGCTACCTACAAGCGAACAGCACTTTCCTTCCAATGATCTAGCTTGAGAGGCTAATATTGGGCAAGGCAGGAAGTGAGCAATAGAACTTATAGAAGGCCCCTCTTACCCGTGGTTGAGGTGCCATTGCCCTCGAATTCGGGATCTGTACAGCGGGAAATGGAGGCTTTGGAGGGGCACGGCTCTTGCGAATACGCCGTCGCGCGCCGCTGTCGGCAGGAGTACCCCTGTCAATTTCCGGCCCCACTTGTACCTCAGTCTTCCCGTTTTTGTTCTTCATGAATGATTGGGTCCACGTGACATCAAAAAAGTTGGCGACAGAATAGAGCTGCGCGCGCGAAGTCAGGTCCAGACAGGGAGCTTTAGTGACAAGATTGACGATCAGAGAAACCGAATTCTCACGTCGCCAATTGTTTGCGCATACAGAAACACGTATTTGCGCATCTATTCTATTCACAGCGACGATGGATGATCTTTACGACGAGTAAGTATCTTGTTCTTTTGTCGCGTTTCGAGCTTGACAATTTGACGGCGCGCTGACTTGAGGCGACAGGTTCGGTAACTTCATTGGCGAGGAGGCCGAGTCAGAGGAGGGCTCAGAGGTCGGCGTTGGTGCGGATGACTATACCTACGATGACGAGCCAGATGAGGCTCCTGGTGTGACAGGCCAGGAGCTCATGGAGATTGACGGTACGAGCCCGGGACCCAGGTTACGAACATATACTAATTCATGGGTTGGCAGATGGCCCATCAAATGCGATTATTCTCCACGAAGATAAACAGTACTACCCTACTGCCGAGCAGGTATACGGCGCCGATGTCGAGACCCGTGTCGAAGAAGAGGATGCCCAGCCTCTATCCCAGCCCATCATCGCCCCCATCGAGCAGAAGAAGTTCAATATTGAGGAAGCCGACCTTCCACCCGTGTTCTTCGATCGCGAATTCATGACAGACTTGATGAACTTCCCAGAACAAACGCGAAACGTAGCATTAGCCGGACATTTGCACCATGGAAAGACTGCGTTCATGGACATGTTGGTACTCGAGACGCACGACATCACAGATCGACTTGAACGAAGAGTGGGCAAGAACCGGGATGAGCAATTGAGATATACGGACGTACATATCTTGGAGAGGGAAAGGGGGTTATCTATCAAGGCTGCGCCAATGAGTTTGGTACTACCCAGTACCAAGGGCAAGTCGCACCTTGTCAACCTGATCGATACTCCTGGTCACGTTAACTTTGTCGATGAGGTGGCAGCCTCATTCCGTTTGATTGACGGTGTCTGCCTGGTGGTGGATGTGGTCGAGGGAGTTCAGATCAACACGGAGCAGATCATTAAGCACGCAGTTCTCGAAGACATCCCCCTGACGCTCATCATCAACAAAATGGACCGCCTCATCCTCGAGCTGAAGCTGCCACCCAAGGACGCATACTTCAAGCTCAAGCACGTTGTCGAGGAGGTCAACACTATTATCACAAACACAGCTCCTACCAAGGCCGCTTCCAAGAGGATAAGTCCTGAGAAGGGCAATGTCCTATTTGCCTGCACAGAGATGGGTTGGTGTTTCACGTTACCGAGCTTCGCCAAGATGTACACAGAGACCTTTGGCGATATCAACGTGGACGAGTTTGCGAAGCGGTTATGGGGCGACATCTACTATAACCCCAAGAAGCGAAACTTCTCACGGAAACCCCTGGATGAACGCTCAGCACGATCGTTCGTTCACTTCATCCTCGAGCCTATCTACAAGCTCTTCACACACTCGATCAGCGACAGTCCAGAAGAACTGCGGCCAGTGTTAGCCTCGTTGGGCATTGAGCTCAAGCCCTCACAATATAAGGCTGACGCGAAGGTGCTTCTGAAGCTAGTATGTGAGCAGTTCTTCGGTCCATCAACAGGCTTTGTGGATATGATCGTTAAGCACATACCAACTCCCATCGAAACAGCTGAACGATTGCTTGAGCGGTATTATACCGGCCCATTAGACTCGAAGGTCGCTGCCTCCATGAAGGCCTGCAACCAGGACGGCCCATTAGTTGTTCATATCACTAAGCTCTTCAACACAGCGGACGCAAAGAGCTTTCACTCATTCGGTCGTGTACTGAGTGGCACCGTTCGACCAGGTATGCAGGTTCGCGTACTTGGTGAAGGTTACTCCCTGGACGACGAGGAAGATATGGCTATGGCAAATATCTCGGAAGTGTTCATCGGCGAGACAAGATACAACATCCCTACCGACGGCGTGCCAGCCGGTAACCTTGTGTTACTTAGCGGCGTCGACAACTCCATTGTCAAGTCCGCTACCATCATCCCTCCCAAATTAGAAGATGACGAAGACGCCTATATCTTCCGGCCTATCACACATTTCACTGAGTCTGTCCTCAAGGTTGCCGCCGAGCCTATCAACCCCTCCGAACTCCCCAAGATGCTTGACGGACTAAGGAGGATTCAAAAATCGTACCCCCTCATCAAGACTAAGGTCGAAGAATCAGGAGAGCATGTTGTCCTCGGAACTGGAGAGCTGTACATGGATTGTGTGCTGCACGACCTTCGTCGTCTGTATGCTGACATGGACATCAAGGTTTCTGACCCGGTTACGCGGTTTTGTGAGACTGTTGTCGAGACATCGGCGACAAAATGCTATGCTATCACCCCAAACAAAAAGAACAAGATCACTATGGTTGCCGAGCAGTTGGAGAAGGGGATCTCGAGCGATATTGAGAGTGGCGCTGTACGCATCCGCGATCCCATTCGCAAAACTGCCAAGTTCTTCGAAGAGAAGCATGGATGGGATAAGCTGGCTGCTCGCAGTATTTGGGCCTTCGGCCCTGAGGAGACAGGACCCAATATCCTTCAAGACGATACTCTTCCCACGGAAGTAAGTTTGAGCCGTGTTATGTCGCTTACGTTGATCGCAGCGGTGCCCTATTACATGAGCAAGGCTAATATAGAGTTCAGGTGGACAAGAAAACACTCAATGCTGTCAAAGAGTCTATTCGACAAGGATTCAGCTGGGCGACCCGCGAGGGACCCCTGTGCGAAGAACGTAAGCATTCTCTTTTGTTTTCTACCTTGGGCCACAATCTATTGCCCAGTGGCTCCTTTCGAGGAAACGTTGTATCATCAGTATGGGGCACATCCTTCAAGTGAAGAGTGGGCTTTGTATATGTTTCATTATCAGCAGTTACCATTGGCAGTGGACCTCGACAGCAACAGAGGCAAGGTAGTTCCTTGTGGAGTTCCCACGAACTCTCCACCTCTATCTTCCAGCGCCTTTCGCTGGCTAATATGCGGCTGGCAAAGACTTGGCAGTCTCCAAACGTGGATTCTTGCAGAATGTCAATGGGACCACCTGTTTCCACTGTGTAAGGGATTTTGTTCTGGATGACATTGCGGATAGAGCCGCTTGACCGCTCCCGTTCTGCCAGGAACAAATGGAAAAGGATATCCGACGATCCCTTGCCCCCTGGCAACGGATAGCTTATCCTCTGGGCCGATCAGGAGCAACAGTGAACGATTCAAAACAAATACTGACATGAGGCAACAGCGATACGAAACACAAAGTTCAAGGTTACAGATGTGCTACTAGCCAACGAGGCCATCTTCCGTGGAGGTGGCCAAATCATCCCCACCTCTCGACGAGCGTGTTATTCCTCCTTCCTCATGGCATCGCCCCGCCTCATGGAGCCTGTCTACTCAGTCTCTGTAACGGGCCCTGAGGACTCCTACATGGAGGTCTACAATGTGCTCTCGCGGCGTCGCGGACATGTTTTGTCAGATGGTCCCGTTGCTGGTACGCCGCTGTATCGCGTCAACGGTCTACTGCCTGTCATTGACAGTTTCGGCTTCGAAACCGACCTGCGGATCAAGACGCAGGGCAGTTCGATGGTCAGTCTTGTGTTTAATAGCTGGAGCATCGTGCCTGGTGATCCTCTCGATCGCGAGCAGATCATTCGTCCGCTCCAGCCTGCTTCTGCACAGGCAACTGCCCGCGACTTTGTTCTCAAGACACGAAGACGCAAGGGTCTAAGCGAGGACGTTAGTGTCAAGACGTTCCTTGAGCCTGAGTTCTACCAAAGTCTGATGGAGAGTGGGATGCTTGGAGAGATCTAAACATTTGCAATCTGTGGATGAGCGACGGGCGGGATATTCCGGGAGGGTCTTTGAGGGTCCAACATGAGGAGCAGGGGCTGCACGAACGACTCCATGAAGGATCTTGGAGTAGTTGAACCCCGTTGGCTGAACCTTTGTTTGATGGAGATACGGATAGCCACCTTCATTTCGATAAAACGAATTTGGTAGCAAGGATAAGATGGAAGATCAGTGGCGCACTTGCGGAACCGTAGAGGACAAGCAGGTCAACGGCGAGAAGGTTTAATATAGACCAGCATAAACAGGGAACAATAATTAGAAATCAAGGCCAGGTGTTAAGGTCCTTTGACTTTTTGCCTACTCCCAATTCTGTCATATAAAATAAGTTCCTGTACGTAGAGTTGGCCATCCTAATGCTGTTCTGGTTAGACCCCACATTCCTTGTCAACGACGATGGGGCCTGTTTGTTGACAGGACCTTTTTCAAGATGCCGACGATGCTAGGGGATTTATCCTTGAGCTTTACGGTGCAGGACTGTAGCGTCATGGTTATGCTTTACGACAGATCGCGCACCAGATAATTAAAGCCAAGGTTAATAACATTCAGGATCTGGACTAGTGTCGCAGTTGGTTCACTAGACAGTTCATCCAGAAGCTTGCAGTCCTGATAATACAGATATAAAACAAAGGTCAAAGCAACAGTCGAGATGGTGGAGTTGAACGAGCGCTTCGTGGAAACTTCCACGGGACGATTAACCGGTGATCTCAACGGGTCTTTCTAGAAACCCTTGCCCTTTCAGGGACCACGGTTTGAACCTCGTGGCAAGCAAGTGAATGACGAAGCGGTTGATAAGCATCGCGACAGGGATCATTGACAGGACACAAGGTTTGCTAGGGTGCCGGGAACGATGGGCATGAGCCCATCTGCCAGGCACATCCATAACCTATCTCGGTGAAGGCTTGAGGGTTAAAGCCATAACCTGAAGGTGTAACATTAGTCTGAGGTGCTGGACGAAGGATATCACTCATGGCTCTCAGCAATTGAGTCTAAACTCCCCATTGGCTGTGCAGAGAGTAATTCCAAGACACTGGTGGCCTATCCCCACGTCACGAGGAGTTGGGAAATGCGGGATAGAGCAAGTGGTTGGTGTCTTAGAATATGCAAGACAATTGATGGTTGCGGACAAATACATCCCATCATGTTCACTTTGACGATCGCCATTGAGGAAAATACAAGTCTCTTTGCAACGTCTATGGCGGACCAATCCCGAGACTCGTATCGAACCGGGGGGATCTCGTCGCGGGAGTTGCAAGATCGGGGGATCGTCACGCAGACGCAAGGCAAGGCTGCTTCCCCCCCAAACATATCATTTGAGACCGTCCCAGCGAAATGCAACTGTGATCCCTGGGCGTCCACAAAACCGCAAACACACTGGGGGACCGGGGGTCAACCCCTGAAGGATAAGCGATATGGACCAAGTCTCCAAGACAGAAGCTCCCGGAGGCTTGAGCTAGGGGCGTGACTACGGTGCTGTATGATTTTGAGGACAGACTGATTGATGAGTTGAGTACCGTGAGGCTTGACCGATTTGGTCTATGATATGATCATGTGTGGCGGCAAGTCTAAATCCCCAGTTCTTTTAGACCTGCCAAACGGGAGCTACTAGTCTTGGCAGGACATGCCACGAAAGGAGAAATCGCACAAAACAGACAGCTCTTGATAGTGACCTATGAGAGACGACCTTGCCTCTTGGCTATGAAAAGGGCCGACAGAGTCAAGCATGACGTCTCGTGGCGGTAGGTTCCGTTCCATAGCCTACAGTGCCTGTCAAGGCACTGAAGTGACCTTCCCATGGGGGGGCCAGGCTCAGTCAGGTCAGGGACGTTTGGATTTGCGCCGTTGCGGCGACCCGAAGTGGGGGACGCTGGGACGCTTCCACGAGTAGCATGCTGATATAGGGCGCTACTAAGTATGGTACGACGATGATTCCCAAAACGGAAAGCTAATCGTGGAATCTGGTCGACGTCGGTTTTTATGCACGAGAGGATAGAGAAGAAATAGAGGCTCATGAACGAAAGAAGCTGACGGAGTCGACATATATCTTTAGATTGTGAATATGTGCGTATGTAGATATTCACACAGCAAGGCAAAGGCACACACGTTTGTTGCAACCCAACCATGTGTTGTGTATCAAACTAAAAATTAGCTCGACGTGACACCGATGACATTCTCGATACTCTCAGAATACCAGGTTCCAATAGTCTGATATACTGGAATGTCCACTCGTTGCGATGTTGCACTTGGACTGGAGGAAGGTTTCTCATGAGTAGCGTGACTTGTAGTCTTGTTCGTGGTAGCTGAACCTTATTTAGATGAGGATATCCTTGATAGAACCCCTTGTCATTGCTCTCCAATCAAGAATCGTTGTTTTCCCCAGCGCTCTCTCATTACCAGTTTAACGGTACAGTCTATCCAGACTACCCCAACTTGAATGCCGAGATTCAAGACATGGTAAGGTCACCAAGGTGGTATTTTCGCTCCTGGCATTCGGCTTCGGAACGAGACTGATCATGTTCCGCATCCTTCGCATTGGTCACTTGTCTATGCTGTAGTGACATTAATCGATGGTGCGCACCAGAAGATCAGCGAGCTGAATCCCTGTGGTATTGAAGCCTTCTAAAAGAGTGTAGCCTTCAAAAATAGAAACTTTTTGTCATGACTAAGCGCAGGTTTCCAACATCTTGTCCAGTACTCCCTTCAGAGTGTCGTTCTCTAAAGCTGCAGCAACTCGTTCCTTATCGGCTAATTGCTTGTTGACTTGATCATCCTGATTGTGGCTGTTCTCTTTGCAGGTAACATCCACACGGTAGTTGGGCGGCAGTGCCTGCTCCAGTCTCACTCGAACTCCCAGCCCGATAACGGTGGCTAGCGAGCAGTGGGTGATGGTAGGCGTGATCTCCACAACCACCTGGACGATGGTATTGGGGTCAGGAACGCCCATAGAAGGAGAGGGAGTGATGTGAATATCAGAAAGGTTAATCACTGACAATTGGCCGAGTGATACCGGGTGCTCTGGATCCGAGATGGTTGAGATCAGATCTGTCCAACGTTAGTGCCATGTCTTGTTAAACGTGGATATGTAGTCGAGTCACTTGGAACCCTCACGAGCCCCGAGCCCCGAGCCCCAGCGTAAATGCGCACGAAGATATTGGAGTGGCAAATTCACCAAGGAAATGACTCGAGTGAAATGGGAGAAGTATCATACCATAAATTTCTTGTTCGTCAATAGCTTCGGATGAGAATCCATCCTGCCAGTCGTTCATTCGAGGCCATGCTGCCGGACCTTGACCGAAAGGCCCTGAGAGATATGATGGCTTCGCAAAGATGATATCGTCGTATTTGGAGTCCGGACCCCGACGCGGCTCAGCCTTCTTCTGCCGGGTAGGCAGCTGAGACGCACTCAGGATAGTTGGATTCGCGTTATCCAAGGTTGCCATTACGATGCAGAACTTGGACCAGCTCAATATGCAGGGATCTCAGATTCAGATGGCCAAGGCTTTGAGGCTATTTGGGACGAGGTGACGCGGCAAGGGAGAGCAATGGGTCGTCAATACAGGATATGCAGGAGATGAGATGGTGGAGATGATGACAGGTGCAAATTGTGCTATGCTAATTTTGAAGGCCTAAGGAATTTGTCGTTAATGGACAAGGTTGTTTGTTGTATGGGGAAGGGATTTGATGATTTGAAGTTCAAAGTGGGAGGGGTAGTAAGTACAAAGTACTAGGTAACCTAAGGTAGGTACAGTTACTAAGCGCCACATCTGATAAGCCTCGCAAATTGGTGAGGCGCAGCACGGTCCATCGCCAAGTTTGACGACCAATTAATGCTTCACTTTGATCTTTGGCTGCAATGATCACCACTCGGTAGATGAACACGGATAGGAGAGATCATCATGTCCTCAAAGCTTGGCGTACATGTATGTACATTAATGCCTCCATACAAATTTTCTTGAATTGGTGGTGTTTGTTGGAAGGTCACTCACTCATCATCAGATACAGGGGTCAAAACATTGGACACAATGTCTGCATCCCCATGTCTCGTAGGACGTTAGCGAATAAGCGGTAAAAGACTTGTTGCCTCGCACTTGGTCATGAGTCAAACACTGGAAAGAAGGCTGGCGGTGTGAGCTGACAATAGCAATTTCCACACAAACTAATAAGATATAGCCTCCACTACCTTAAAAAAGGTCCTGTCATGGCATGGCATAGCATGGCTCTTGACAGGTCTCGTCCGTATTAGGGGGTGAGGCTGCGGGGGCTACCCAGGGAGTGCCGGCCGAGTGAGTTGAGCTCTGGAGTGCGTGATTCTGGAAACTTGGTGGAAGGGTCTCCCATCCTTGCAAGGAACGCGCTTGGAAGCCGCTCAGAAGCGCTGTCCCTGTCACGATTGGGCGACGGGCCATGGGCATGGCGTGCGTGCGTACGTTCGTGCCCCTGACCTGAAGTCTGAGCACGAAGGATCGTGGCGCGCGATCTCTCCCCCAATATCGGAGGTGTTTTCTAGAACAGGGTAGCCTCATCGACTTGCACGAGATGAGGGAGAGATTCAACACTACCTTACACTACTGTACTGTACCCGTACAGTCCGGAAGATGGTCTGCAGGATCCGTTCCGCTACCACTACCACGTTGTTCAACTACCGACCTACGACCTGTGCTGTGCTCTTTGTTGGTTGTTGGCACATAAATCTCACGCTGATCATGACCTCGAATTCTGCTAAAATGTTCCGCGGCCCGATTCGGGTGGGAATCAACCACAACCTCAAGCCTCTAAAGGTCTTGAATCCAACACCCACACTTGTCAGATAATTTTGCACAAGGATTAGTCAGAACTTGATAATTGAGGATCTTTGCCCACCACACACTATAGCCGGCTCAGCTAGAGATACGGAGCCTAGGGGAAGGAAGAAAAACCAGGACCTCGATCCTAAATGATAAAAAGATTTAGGTAATATAGCCTAAGCTTAGGATGACTTCTACTGAGTTTATTTTGACACCCTATATCGAGGTCCGTTGTTTTCTTGCCCCCCGAGGGGAGCCTAGGGAGCGTCTGCTGTGCATGAGCCATGAGGACTATGCAACGATGATGGGGCAAAGATTTACCCTGGGGTTGGCATGGGGGGGTTGTTAGCAGAATGAGGTTCTTGGTTCAAGACGCAGATATGAGCCCTCTGTCGAAGAAATACAGCGAGTATAGTCCGCCAATGAGGAAATAGGATGGCCAGATTCGTAAACCGTCTGGTTTAATTGCCCGCATAAGGGACGAGGTTTCGAGCGGAACACGCCGACGAGATATGAATAGATACGGATAAGTATGAGGCATGGCGTTTCTTGTTCAACTCATGGCACCGAGAATAATCGGCTGCAGAAAACAAAACAGAGTTTTGTGTCAGAAACACTGAAACCTCTACAGTAAGAGAATCTCAGTCCTGTTTCCGGGTTGTCTATTAAATGTCGGACCGGGTATGTATATCGATAATTCTTCATTGCGAGACCGAAAGGATGAATGAGTGAAGGAAGAGTCGGGGATCCCCGTCCCGTCACCTCCGTCGGGGAACTCAAGCCTCGGCACAGAGCAACCCCACAGGGCATTTAGTTGACGTCTTTGCTTAGAAACGCACAAACATGGCATGTGATATCAAACAACCAACTTGTTGTTATTAGGTGCACCGTCAATGCAATGCAAGCGCAGACGAATCAATCTCGTGTGCCTCCTGCAGGAGCACCAAAAGCGAAATGGGCCAAGGACTGGAATAACATGGTTCAACATGGAAGAGACTCTCATAGTTAGTCTTGTTTCTCTTGCTTAACCGACCTCTGGGAAATGACGCTAGGGGAGAACCAGTTTGAGGACCCAAGGGGAATGGATCATCCTGATGGGTACGGGTTAAATGTAGGGGTCTAGCTTAATGTCAAGAGGTATTTAGTTTGTATTTCTAAATGTGTACGGAGTATGTACCCATCCATCCATCCAACTCTTGTTGATTGATATCACAATCTCCACTGTAAGTGAGTGAGAAACACAGCCCGCGGAGGAGAATATGATATGTCACGACCAGATCGACAAAGTAGTCCGTACTCGCCCAATTCTCTCACTCCTTGATATTTCCGAATCTTCATGCAAGTCTGCCACAGACGTACGTGCGTAGTTGACTGGAAAGGAATCTCAGTCATTTGGCCCCCGAATTTAACGGCACCTAGGGTATCTGGCGCGTGGCAGATGCAGCGGACACCAATCTGCACGGGCGATCTTCATGCGACCACTTGGAAAGTCAAGCATCGACAGTCTAGGCAAGTCCTTTTCTGCCCGTACCTTTTTTCCCACCGCATCGACTCGTCATGATGGTGGCAAGATAGTATGTATGGGTATGATACGAGGCGTTCGTCAACGCAACGGCAGAATACAAAAAAACTAGTAGAACCGACAGGGTTGGGCAATGTAGCCGACGAACCCACACAAGCCACCCTTAGATCACACGGCCTCGCAAAGGAACCAATACGATACGCACTGTAGCTGTCGTTATCCTGTAGGCTGGACCGTAAGACGATGAGGAAGTTGAGGCATCAAACAGGAGATCGTGCGGTTGGCACCCACCCGAATTTGGACTGCTGCAGATTTGGAAAGGTCTCCAGTCTCAAGAACTGTTTAGCATTGGATCTAAATCGTCGTGGGTCACAGAATTTCACATTTGGTTAAGTTGCAAATGGATATGGGATGGCGCTAGTTTGGCCGTGGTGTCGGTATCTGGAGCTGCCCAGACTAGGGCAGACAATAAATGTCAGGACCGATATGCTAGGTGATGAAAAGACTTCATCAAGTACCAGGTGATTTAGTGAGCCCGTAGGCCAGTTAATTTTGGCACCTATCTTTAACGTCAGGAGTTTTCCTATACCCCAAGCCCAGCCTAGCCCCGTCCAGAACTCTGTCAACTCAGATCCAATGGCGGGACATCTGGAAATCTCCATGAAGATGAACCCAACATGGAAGGCAGATGAAGTACGTACTGACAAGGGTCCTTGGGGGTCTTTGAGGCCCTTACCTGCTTGTTGGCATGTTCCTGTCTTATGAGGGGAGCGAAGGGGCCTTTCTCAATTCAAGTTGTGACGTTTGACGTTGAAACTGAGATATCCTGACTCGGAATAATCGACGTCGGTTCGGTAGTTGGGTAAAAGTCTACGAATGGACCATGGTCACTCGAAACGACCAAGGACGGACGGATGAGATCCCAGATCCATGGATATGCCTTATCCCAGCTCTACCAAGAGACGGGAAGTTTATGTAATTGCAAAGTTTCGCGGAGGAATAACAGCCCCCCTTCGAAAATCCTGGTTTGGGATCATAGCTAGCTCTCAAAGGAACCTCGGTACACTGACTGGTTGCTTACCTGCCTTATTCTATCGACTAGGATATAGCTTCGAGCAGCCACTTTGGAGCGTCTAATAGGCTTGTCTAGGTATAGTAATTACCGTGGCTGAAATAGAACTCGCATGGTGGTTTCATTATGACGATCATGCTTGGGGTTGTTTTTATAGTCTTGAATGCTAGTGGAGCGTTTAACCACATTGCCCCAAACTAACTGATTGTGATCAAGAAACTCATATCCTGAGACAGTAAATATCTGAGAGTCTCGATAATCAAACTATGTAACCAGACTGCACAATTTACGGATACAGCAACTACGAATTCGCATGCATGACTGTTGAGACATGGTGGGCCGTTGAGTAGCGATCTTTTCTTGGCCAGCGAGAGGGTCGTCTCGTCCAGTTATAGAAAGTCACGACTAGAAGATGCAATGATGGCTGAAAAGGGCAGCTTGCTATTGTATCCAGTCAGGATGGGATAGATAGTTGAAGGAGCATCACTGACTGAATACCGCACAGCAGAGCCGAGGGGCGACACCTGACACACTAGGCCTAGCCAGGGCGAGCAAGGTAAATGAAAGTGAATGACGAACCACCAAATCTTGACAACTCATAGCGCTAGAAGCCAATTAACGTAGACGTGGGTTTGGTTCCGCATCTCGCGTCAGTATTTTGTAGCGGATAGCGTCCCCCGTAGTGCAGTTCTGTGAGTAGTTCGTTCGCCAAACAAAGGTGAGGTGAGCTGGCGCCCGCAATCTTGAGGTATAAGGCTGCGGAGAGTGAGAAAGAGAGTTTCCGGCAGAAAGACCATTAGTACCCTACCGAATACAGTGTCGATTTGGAAGACGAGACAGGCCCCCCCTACCTAGAGAGAGAGAGGGATAGAGGTACAGAAGGCCAGGCCCATGTCCAATCTCGAAAAGCCTCTTCAGCCCTAAGTGTCAAGTTGAGGTTGCTTCTCCAATGGGTGAGGTGCATGCTGCGACTAGCCCTGCGGCATGGCATGTGCGTGACGGAAGGTGCCTGAGTCCCGCGTATCGCGAACGGTAACTGGAAAGGACGGAAGGAAAAGAAGCGAGAGGGAGCATCTTTTGTATGAGGTGTTCAAGCAGAGAGCCAGAAGAGGAAGGAAACTAAGGATATGCTGAGGTTCAGGTATCACAAGAGCCGACCAGCATTAGCAGCATCACGACCACCACCACCACCACCACTAAGGAACTCACTCACTATCACCACTATCCGGCATCTCCATCTCCATTCCGTGGCCTGCCTCCATTTACATCACCATCGTCGATAGCTAGGTTACAGCACACCGACAGCCCAGTGCGAGAGATCTCCATGCACCGTCATACGGCTTTAGGGCCCCCTGTCTCTCTGTCTCTGTCTGGAGAGGCTGGCACTGGATACTCCCATGGAATGCCTGTCACACATCCACATCCACATCCATGAGACGGGATGACCCCCCTCCCCCCTTCCTGCAACCTCCCAAGCGTTCAAGTCATAGGCCCTTGGCCGAGTACATACATACATACATACTGTACGCGCGATGAGAGTATGTGACAAGCGAACAGACAGACAAGACGCATGCACCAGACGCAACGCAACGCAACGCAACGCACGCAGCGCAGATGCAATGATGCAGTGCGGTGCAGGCCTGGCAGATTGGAGACAAGGCCTGGCAGAGGATCAATTACATAGTTGATCAAGTAACGTACCTAGTAGAACAACACAACACAACCAACCCCCTTGTTGGGCCCCAAGTCTCGGCATACGTTTCATCAGAGCTCCTCAAGGCCATTGTCTTCGATTGGATACACACGCGACTCTGCCGTCGGGAATTATATCTCGGATTTTCTGCTGTGTTGCTGACTGTTGCTGGCTGTCGCTATTCGGAGCATTCTTCATGTACGGTACAGTACGTGGCTACTAGATTTATCGCCCTCGCCGTGTGCGCCCGTTGAGAAGGGAACTCCATTCGGTATTTCATCCTCACTCGAATGTCATCGAGTCTTCTGCTGCTTACACACTACAATGCATTGAAATCATCAAAAGTCCGCTAATGCCGCAGCAGAGACCCCCGGCTCTTATTCTCCAGCTAAACTAACAATTAAAGCACCACCACATCCAGTCCCTCCACAATTCAGTCCAAATCCATCTAATCAAGTCCATAATAGAGTACGTACACACACTTTCATTGCAGAACATCTCGCAGCAAAGGACCCCGAAGCAAGCACCAGATGGATATCCACTGCCACTCACTCACTCACACTCTCACTAACTGTCCTGCCCACATTTCACGTCGTCGTGTGTCTTCTGTAACACGCCGTCCACTCGGGCCGGTGCCCATAGCCGGTCCTGGGAGCTTTGGCTTCTCAGTCTTGGTCGAGAGCGTATCCCAAATCTGTTCAAACAGCAACATACAGTACTTGATTCGCCCCAGTACGGTACGGTACCTGCTGGCTCTAGCTCTTAAGTTTCTAGGTTCTGGGCCTTCATCCCACACCCACGTCGCCGCTTTTCCTTACCTGCATCTTCCCCCCCCAGAGCCCCTCCCCTAGCCTGCTGTACCCATCCTACCATCTCCATCTCCATCGCCATCCCATCCCATTCCCCTCCCCTTGTCTCCTGTCCTGTCCCGCCCCTGTTAGTTGACCCTGGGCTTGTCTTGTCTTGTCTTGTCTTGTCGCCCTGTTGTGATCCAAATAACGCCAGCCCGAAACTCTCCACCATCTGCTCGTCACTAGTCTCTAGTGTGGTGAGGAGAGACTGACGGTCAGGCAAAGCATCCCAGGCAGGGCTCATAGCACAGGCCAACGCAGGCCAGGCCAGGCCATACGCAGACAGATCAGGGCACTCACTCACTCACTCTTCCAAGACAAGTCCCATAGGCCAAGCTTTCCCCGATACATATTATAACATCACACCCATGTTTTGCTGCCGCCCTTGGCCCTGCCCTGCAAAAGCAAAGACGAAATAACTAACAAGACCAAGACCAAAGAGAGACAAAGTCAAAACCCAAAGCCACACGCAGTGGCTCTAAACACCCGACTCTACGGTTCACTTTAACTCCCACTACCTTGCTCTAAGCTTTCCAAGGCACACCACCATCTACATAGGTACATACACATACATAGTACAGTACCCCGACACACCCCTAGCCAGCCCAGTTCAGCCAGCCAACTCGATTTACTCTAATACTGGACGTCTTTTAGCTGGTCTAGCTTTCGTACATACCATACAATATCTCTTGTCTGTCTGTCTGTCTGTCTCTGTTGTTGCGGGTTTCGCCTCCTTACGTTACGCCTTTTCTCTTTTCCACGACAAATAGTTTATATCTCTTCCTACTTTACTCTACTCTACTTTACTCTACCCACGTCGCACACCTCCATTGTCTTGTCGCCCCGACTTGGATCTTGACCTTATTTACCGCCCAACGTTAGCCCATCGTTGCTTGCTTTTGTCGCCCACCGTCACGACATTGTCCCCACGAGCATCCCTCCACCCCGCGATTCTCCTCCCCATCGCGCGCAAACTCCCAAACTCCGAACATCTACCTATTTACCACTTACTCGATCGTTTGCGACGATCTCCCGACTCTCGTTTATCTGAATTTGCGAACCGATTTTTCATGTTGACCGCCGTCATCGTCAATACTCGACGTTCTTAGAGGTACAAACCTCGGAACTGTACTGTACTGCTTATAATGTCAAACGACGACCCTACTGTTCGCCGAATCTTACCACAACAATCCCAAATGAATTCCTTTTCCTTTGCGCCGCAGCAATATACGCAGCGCGAGACCCAAAAGAGTACGTGGGAGCATACAGCATATTTATGTGCTATTTTGACACGGTAACTAACTTGCGTGTAGACTATGTGTTCGTTGACGAGCACAACCGCCATAAGCGGTTGAAAGGTATAATTAATTGGCCCCCAAGGTACAACCTTGATAATTATGGCATGCTAAGACCACAACAGTTATGAGGGCTTGCGAAGGTTGCAGAAGACGGAAGATCAAATGTGACGCTGCGACTACAAACACATGGCCATGCTCGGCTTGCATAAGGCTCAAGCTTCATTGCGTACGGCCAAATGGTTTCGATGGAGCCAACGACTCGACGACTTATGACACAACACCCATGAACCCTTCAGATCAGTATCAGCAAATGCCAATGCAGCATCAAGTAATGAACACAGGCACAAAGATCTCGCCAGCTGCTATGTACGGTGCTCCTCAGCCAGGTTACCCTGACCCAAGTGCCCAATATCAGCATGTTCAGTACGATACTTCTCAGCAACCCGGTGGCATGCCTTATGGTGCTGTTGCGCCTTCCGGTTCAATGATGGAACAGCATTATGCAGGCCAGAATGTGTTTCCCACTCCTCCAATGCACCAGCCACCACCGCCTCCTATAGCTCAGCAGCAACCCTCCCCAGAGGCCTACTCACCTGGAGAATATCAACACCATGACCTTGCAGATCTCTTGGGAACACTCAAGGTCAATGAAACTGGTACAGGTAGGGTCCATAATACCCATGCTCACCCATACAGTTGCTGATGTCTATGTAGCTCCATATCTCAGGAATAAGGCATCGTTCAGACGTGAAGAGGAGCCAGCTATTGAAGACGATGAGGAGTTCCCAGCCAACTTGCCTAAACCTGCACCCGGTCACAAGATTCGCATACCGCCTGAGTTGATGCCCGATGACGAGACGGCACTCAATTACTTCGACCTCTACTTCACACACGTTCACCCTTACGTTCCTGTGTTATGCAAGACGGTCTTCTACCAACAATGGAACACTGATCGAAATGCTATTTCGCCCTTGATTTTGGAAGCTATCTTTGCTATGGGTGGACGTTTGGCCGAGGACCCGGGCGAGGGCCAACAATGGCTTGCTCTCGCTTCCCGTAAGTGCTGTCAAGTTGTATGAGGAGAATTGTGAGGTTACTTACACAATCTAGGACACGCCGATTCTTTCATGGACATTCCACGTCTGAGCACACTTCAAGCCCTGCTTATGATTCTCAAGGCTCGCGAAGCTGCACCCAAGCGAGGTTACTATTATCGTTCTTGGATGACTGTTGTACAGTGTGTTCAGATGGGCAAGGACCTGGGCTTGGATGAGCATTACGAGGACCACCAAGCAGGTATCTCTTGCGAGTTTACCCCAGTTGAGTGTCAACTTCGAAAGCGATTATGGCAGTTGGTGTTTGTCTGCGAGGTCATGGTTGGAGCCCCTCAAGGTAAGTGACAGTAGCATGGAACTGTTGTTATGTTGATAGCTAACATAAACAAACAAGGGCGACACGACCATGCAGTTAAACTTAACACAGTGGATTTCACTGCAGCGAGACCAGTTCCAGGATGCGAAGAATCCGAATACCACATCTCGCGCAATTTCAGCTACTTCTCTCAGGTTGTGCGAACCGTCGCTACCATGAGCAAGGTCTACACAAGACTGCGAAGACGAAAAGATTGGGGCGTTGACCCCGAATTCCAGCAGTTGGGACAAAGCTTCAACACTTGGCTGACCGAGCTACCTCCGGATCTGGCCATTTCCTTCCCGCCAGATGGATCGCCTCCTTGGATTCCCTCGCATTTTATTGGAAACATGCATGGATACTACTATCTGGCCCTAATTCTGTTCCATCGACCTATTCTGTCATTCCTTGACCCTAATTCTCCGGACGGACAATGGAAACGCCATATGATGATTTGCTACAGCTCTGCCAAAGCATTGTGCCGTCTTCAGGAGGCAACTCTCAACTCGTTTGGACTTACTGGACTCCAGTGTATGCAGCGAGGCTTCAGTTTCTCTCTTTACGCGGGCCTCTCTTGCATTGTCATTCATCTGGTAGGTTTCCGAAGAGGATAGCTGTCGACACAAACTGACTCATTCTTAATAGGTTGCAATTGTCTCACCAGACCCCGAGTTCAACACTGATGCTCGCGAATACTTTACAAGGCACATGAGGGTGTTGGAGAAGGTGATGGCAGCATGGCCGATGCCAGAGTTGGAGAAGCAGATCAATGCACTACGAGATGCTTTCTCAGCAGATGTTCGAAAGCCATTCGTCCTGAAACCCAGCTTTCCCTACGGCAGCCCTCACCCTTCCACACACTCCAGCCCTCCTCGCGGTAACGACTCATTCCGGCCAGTAATCCACCGGACAGGGTCCATTGATCAACATTTGGATACACACGGTGCTCAACAAGTCAGTTATACCAACCACCCCATTACACCGCCCATTTCCGCGGGCCCTTTGGACAGCAAAAGTGACTCCCCAGCTGTACAGTCGCTCGTCATGATGTCGCAAGGATCGCAAGCTCCTGGGATGCCCCAGAGCATGTCGATGACGGACCAGCCCGCATGGAATCCATCGCGACTATTTGAGTAAGTTGAAGCCACTTCCTTATCCCGTCATCTAGCAGCTCGCTAACTGGTCTATAGACAATGGAACACCACATTTGGTACGCCTACCTCTCACACACAATCCAACTCCACCCCACCTCACACGAGCCCTCTTAACGCGTCGTCCTCAGGTGCCACGGAAGTTCCCACTATCCAGGACATCCAGGCAGTTCAAGCTTCAATGCCTGCTGGATCGCATCAAATCTCGCCATCTCAGTACTCGTCTGCACCGGTGCCAAATTTTGTCACCCCTGCAATGTGGCAAGAGTCGGTTGCAAGCGTTTACGAGGGTGGGTTGAAGCGAGCATGGGGCCAGTGATGATTATACATACACTGATGAAAGGATGCTATTGCTGATTGAGCTATCACCTCTCAAGGATGAATACTCCTAAAGCTGGTTCCTACTAAGCGAAATGCCCTCTGTCAACGAGCTCTGTGCTGGACTTGGTTACAGCAACAGAGCTCGCCTTGACGAATCGGCCAAGGACATGGCCCTATCAAGTTATCAGACATGTTGCAGTCCTTGATTCCATGTCTCGTCATGGACAGAACTTGAGTGCAGCCAGAAGAAAGGAAGGGCTTGTATTATTGTATAGAAACCGGTTGATTACGATGGTTTGACAGGATTGACAAGAACATATAACGAGCCATGATGGAGGCGTTGAGAACTATTTAGGCCCAAGCCACAAATGGGAAGGGCCCGTACCTACTATGAGGTGCGTTTGTTTCGGTTGGACAGGCAGGATCCATGTACCAATATTTGTCTACGTGATTGACGACCTGGAAGGCTTCTGGCGGAGCATTGGGAACAAAGGAAAAACAGAAAGGAGTCATGGCTTCTGGATTGGTTTTATTTGATATACAACGTATAAATATCATGGTTGCTGTACTGGGCGCATTGTTTGAGAGCTCGATTGATCTATCCTCATGTAATGGTGACATGTGTGCTATTGAAGTGACCAAGATGTAGGGGTGTGCTCTTGACTAGGGTCGTGATACGAAGTCTTAAGTTGATGAACTAGACTTGCTATTGGACGTCGATCAGAGCAAGGGTCAACTTCATATATATTGGTCTTCCACATGGAGATTATGCCCGTTGCTCCGAAGCAATGGTTCCCGTGTTGCCTGTTCATCAATTCATTGGGCCATGTTGTCTGTTTCTTTACGAGACTAGGCTTGTAATACCAACAACGAGCGAACCGAAGAGCATTCCCGTTTCTCCGATATATCGTGCATACATGGTAGTACAGAACCGGACAAACGGCTCAAATCGAGACATTCCCCTTATAAGGTGACGCAGCCTTCAACGCCCTATTGTCAATGCGCTCCTTGATAACATCCCAGATCCAACCATCGACCTTATCCGTCTTCTTCTGATACCGGACCCGCGTCTGCGGCCTCTTGTCCTGCACGTAGAACTTGCCGACGGCACGGAACATATACCACTTGCGCCTCGCGTTCTCTTCCTTTGTGTCACGGACGTAATTGATGAGGCCGAGGCGGCGTCGCACAGGGCTCAGATCACCGGCGTGCATGCTGCTGTAGCGAGGCTTGGAGATGGCGCTCATGGTGGTCAGGGTAAGGGGCGTTGTGGGAGGGAGGTTCTTGATGAAGCGCTCTAGGATGGGGCGTGATGTTCGGGCGTAGGAGGGGAGGTGGACGTGGATGTGTGTTACGAAGGGGGAGGTTATGTAGGTAACGAATATGACGGGGATGATGCCGCATAGGACGACTTGGTTTTGTTAGTTTGTGATTTGCTGAGGGTGAGTGAGATGAGATGAGATCAGGACATACCGCCTGCGGTGAGTAGCTCGGGCTTTTCAGCTTTGATGTAGCTTGGTGCTACGATGCAGCAGAAGAATGCGCCGATGAAGAGAGTTGTGATTTTGAGCATGGCCATGAATGTGATACGGCCTGTGCCAGCATGATATATGATAAGTTTCTCGGGAAGTTCTAAACAGTATCAGTAACCATTATTCTACCCCTCTCTCTCTCGAACACACCAAATTCCTTGCCATCTTTAGAAGCAGCTCTAGCTTGTCGCTTAAGCTCATCTTCTATCTTGACGGGCTTCTTGGCTGTAGGTTTGGCGTAGTATCTCACTTGAGCTTGTAGAGATTTTTGAAGTGAGCGACGAAAGTTTCGGGGAAGCGCTGAGGTTTGAAGAGGGGTTGATTGACGAGTAACGCCTGCCAATTGAGTTGGCCGTAGCCTTGGTATTATCATTCTTAATTGATGCATTGTGGTTGATGTGAGTTATGGCGTTTATGAGAGGCTCAATGAGGACGATGTCAAAAACTGATGGTAGTGGAGAGACGCGCTGAGGTTGGAAAGATTTAAACAGGGTAAGGGCCGTTTTGTCACCGAAAAAATGACCAACTCGGAATATTTTGGTGAGAGCTTCAATTGTCTAATACCATTGACCATTGACCAATGATTCATTCATTCTATTTAGAGCTTATGGCTCTTATGTTTGTCATTCTCTGGCTCGAGTCAAACGACATTCTTCTGTAGCCACTCAACCCACTGCTCCTTTGTCCATCCAGAGCTGACGTCCTGCACAACACCGTCAAACACAGCAGTAGGTGTGACATGCACACCGATCAAACGGTTCATCTTGGTGATAACCTTGACGTCGTTGGTGACCTTGTTACCCGCATTCAGCGCGCCGTCCTCACCAGGCTTATTAGAGATCACAAGCAGATCAAACACCTTATCCGCATCAACGCCAACCTTGGCCGCAACCTTTGCCAAACGACGATACGTATCGTTTCTCTTCTCATTCACAACATTAACATCAAAGTAATCCTGCTGCTCCTCAAACAGCACGGCGCTAAACTCCCAGAACTTCTCAGGCGCAAGACGGAGAACAGCGAGAGCAGCTTCGTGCATGAGCGTGGAAGAAGGATGCCAAGGCTGGATCTGCTGGCGGAAGATAAAGGTGAGGCTGGATGCCCAGGCTGGGTTGGCTTTGATGGCGGGGATCACGTCGTTTTGCAGGGTGCGGAAGATCTTGGCGGAGAAGGGACAGCAGTAGTCGAGGTAGAACTCGAGCGTGTGAGTTGTGTGAGCGACGGCTGAGTCGGAGGCGGGAGGGTGCGCGAACTGGAGCTTCTGCCCGGCGAATTTAGGAGGAAGAGCCATGTTTGAGGTATCTGAGATGCTGATTTATGTGAGTTGGGAGAAGAGATGCTGTGGTTTTGAGGTTATCACGGAGTATAAATGAAGTTGTATTCATGTGAAGAAGGATGATGCAATGACGCAGCATCAGCACATCACGTCTTATGTAATCGCAGCTCCATTTCGTATATGATCCTAGATAAGACCCATATCGTCAAGCCTTCATACCTTGATGTCTTGATCATTATTTTCGTGTTCTTTTCGACTAGAATCACTGTTGTCAAGCAGCCTAAGGCATGCTAGTTCTACAGTGCTTATTGATTCACAGCACAAGCACAACAGCCAAGACTATTGCCGATCATAGTAGACTAGTAATATACGGGTGGGAACAAACACAAGCCCGGACGCATCATCGATGCAACAATTGGCAGTCTCATCGTCACTTGGGCCTCAATTCTCTTCCGGAAGTTTACCGCATGTGAGTGCGGTGAAGCTGCAGGGTGTTACAGTAGTTATCTTACCAGTGACAAGACATGCTTGCTACCTAAGTAGTGATAGCTCAAAGCTATTGGGCCCTTCGGCTTTCACCTCGATTCACCGAATTGGCATGCAAGTTTTACGGCATAGACATGGCATGCCAAGACGGGGAGGGCTGCAATTCTCTGCCGCCGTTTGGCTTGGTTCGATGAAGCGTATCCGATCGTATTCTTGTGGGGTAAAGAGAAAATCTAGACTATTCTACCTTTTCATGGGAAAGAGTTGACATTGTCTTGTGATCAAGTGAAGTGATGAATAGTTTGTGGATACTCTTCTATTCATGGATCGTAACTCGTAGGTAACTACGGAGGTCTCCCGAGCTCTTGAGCCGCCCGCTGCCATGCTTCTTCCGGCCGATGACCGGGACGGGACCCAACGGGGACGAGGAACAGGGACAGACAGGTACAGGTACAAGGAAATGCTCGTGGTTTTCCGTATTGACCCGTGTATCTCGAGGCACGAGCCAATCAAGACAAACTGAGTCAATGTCTCCGGCGGCTGGTCACGCGGGCGAAGCCGGGGATATCGACTTCCCAAGCCAAGGCTAAGACAAGAAAAAAGTCTTTACCTGATTCTGTCATGGATGCCACCTCCCCCAGTTTCTGAAGCAGGTGAGTGGAGTTAAGTTTAGTAGTTAGCGGCTGTGTTCTGCTTATCCAGGTGCTTTTTTTAAGTTAAGTTCAGTTGAGCTGACCCTTTTGTCTGCCGACAGATTTAAAGTAGTGCACTACGCGATAACTCTATTCTCTTATATCTCCGTCATCGCATCAATTTCCAATTCCAATTCCTTAACCTCTTCCAAAAACTGTAACGTATTCACTGCAATTATCCAACTCTTCAACATTGATTGAAATTACTCTGTTTGACTGTAATCGGCCGAGACTTTGTATTCGTGGCCTTATTGCCAGTGACGACAAACAGCCTCCTCTCCTATCAAACGACCCTCCTCTTCAACAAAGTTAGAGGGCTGAACTCATTGTCTCCCCCAAAAGGTCCGACAAGACAAAATGATTTGCCTTTCCAAAGCAGACGAGTCCTTCTATCAGCGCTTGACTTGGAATCAAGCTCCTTCTCCCCTGGCAGCTATGAACACCACGCGTCAGGATCTCAATGGCATCTCCAACCTGCGCGAGCATGTTGATGCTGGGCAGGATGACGGAAGTGGAGGCACGAGTGGAAGTCTATTGAATTCGCACGATGAAAGTAATCAAGCGGGTTGTCATCCTACTGAGCCCTTCCTGGGCTCTGAAAAGGATGCGGGACGACTGTCCCGTATCTCGGGTAAGTTATGTCAGAAAATCTCATGATTATCCCTTGTCACAATCCACATCTCAGTTTCATTCCCCGATACTAACTTAACCCTCACCAGGACTGTCCTCGTATCTCAAGACGGTAGATGGTGGTGATGACCAAATCCGTCTTCATCGAGGCACCCTCTCGTCATGTGCCTCGCACATCTGGAGCTGGTCCCTCTGGGTCCTCTCTGTTCTTGTTGTCTCGACGATCATCTCATCCTGGAATTCCCCTGCCTCTGCGCCTGCTGCCATGACTTCAACCCCCAAGGCTCATGAGTCGATTCCTGTTCAGGTTTCGCCTCTCCGCAAGCGAAGCACCTGCGAGACTGGAGGTGTCGACAAGGCTGAATACAACACTCCTCTCCAT